TAGACTGGTAATGTTCATATGGGCTAATATCTGACTTATGGACTTGATCTGGACTGGGCTGGGATGTTTTCTTAATATACAATTGCTCTTTTATATAAAGCTCTTTCTTATACACATATAAGTGTCTTTGGATTTGTTTCTCTAGTCCACCCAGACTAACACACTTTCTCTTGACTGCTCCCATTTCTTTGACCAGGTTCCTATTGGGCTACCTCTTCTGCTGCTGAATCGGAGAGCTGCCAAATAGCTCAGTCCTCATCTGACACAGCTGTTCCCTCCCTCATCCTCAAAACATGCCCTCCAGTGGCTTCCAGGACATCCCACTTGCCTGGCTCCCTCCTCCCTTTCTGGCCACCCTTTCTGCGAGTCCATTGTCAGCTCCTCTTAATTTTCCTGACTTCTAAATAGTGGAGTGCCCTAGGGCACAGCGCTCGGGCATTTCCCTTATCACACCCACTTCCTAGGTGAGCTCATTGAGGACACAGCCAGTCTTTGAAGGACAGCGTGCGTGGTAACGTAGAGGGACAGGATGGATCAACACAGTGGCTGTAACACTGGACTCGGACGGAACCATTGTGAGCATGGCACGGGACCAGGCAGTGAGTGTTTCCTGGTGCAGTACCCAGGGTTGTTATGGGTCAGTACCCAGGGTTGTTATGGGTCAGAGCCAGCTCAACAGCAGCTAAGAACCACCACCACAATATGCTCATCAGGTCAAATTGTGTATCTCTAGCCAGATCTCCTTCCTGAACTGCAGAGGTGCATGCCCCACTGTCCCCTAGACACCTCTCTGTTGGCTTTCTAACAGACACCGGAAGCTCAGCATACACATCAAATCCATATTGATGATCTGCTCCCCAACCCTGACACACCACCTTCCCCGCTGCCATCCTTTTAGGTGCTCAGGGCCAGGACGCCTGTGCTCTCTGACTCCTCTCTCTTCTCTCGCACTCCACATCTTAGCTCTCAACTACATGGGGCTTGAAATTCTAAGTATAACTCCTTTAGCTCCTCAAAATCTTTATTCAAATGTCACTCTCTCAGTGAGGCCGCTCTATGATTTCAACGATCCCCTTGTGTCTGTTACAGTCAAGATCAGAGCCCCAGCGCATAGTAGACCCAACCACACCCATGGCCATGGATCTGAGTCAATTCCGACTCGCAGTGACCCTGTAGGACAGGGTAGCGCTGCCTCTGTGTCTTTCCAAGGCTGGAGATCTTTATGGAAGCAGACGGCCATGCTTTGCTCCCGCAGAGGAGCTCCAGTGGGTTGAACCACTGACCCTTGGGATTGGCAGGTGAGGGCTTTGACCAGTGTGCCACCAGATGTCCTTCAGTACCTAGCAGTCACTTAAAAAGCATCGTTAGTGGAGCAAGGTAGTGAAATTCATGTTTCCCTTTGGAAGGCTGGCCAACCTCACAGAGCCAAGGAGCGACAGAAGATCCAAAGCCCAGGTCTTCCCGTCTCCCAACTAGTGACCCACTATCTGATCAGGGTCCAGTGGCCAGCAATGGCACATGCTTAAGGAGTGCTTTTTGAATGACTGGCCATCACAGGCTGTTGGAAAATGGCCCCTTTCAGAGAAATACCATTAAGTCACTGAATCCTCAGCGGCTCAGCCTTTCCATTTCTCCCCGCAAATCGGAGTCAGGCATTTAGGAAATGAAATCAACTCATTGCTGGCTCATCCGCTACACAGTTTTCTTTCCCATCTGGCAATGGGATCTGCGAGCATCGCATGGATCCTGGGGCCTGGCTTGGCTAGTCCGAGCCTCAGAATGGGCCTGAGGAACAACTTGGGCAGGCCTCAGTTTCTGGGATGGCCACAGCTTTCTGGGAGCAGATGAGCAATTGCTTCACTTTAGATAAAATGTAGGAAGCAAAGCAATTTGGCAGCAAAGGCTTCTGGCCCTCCCTGCACGAAGGCCAAAGTGATAGCCGCCCACATGCCATCTCTCCTATCTAGACTGCAAGGGACCCCTCGCCTAGGGGTGAGGGTGTGGTGGGTGGTCCCATAGAGAGAGAGAGCAAACAAGGGGATGGGCCCATGGTCTGAGGACTCTCAGGTCTGCAGAGATGCATAAAGCTCTCTGCAGATGGACCAGTGGTACTTCCTGCTACCCATACCTCATCCCCGGAACTCTGGTGAGAGAGTTATCTGAAGGAATGGCCATTTTCAAGTCCTGCCCCATCCCAGTCAAGCCCACCAGACAGGCTCTCTCTTGTGTTTATTTACATCTAGTTTATTAGGACATAAGCCAGAGATCACAACATCCAATAGTTCAGTCATAGCAAGCACAGTTGTGCCATCGCTACCACAATCAATTTCAACACAGTCAGCTTCTGGTCCATCCTTGCTATCAGCTCCCATCACTCCCCGGCCCCAACCTCTCTTTCCCAGGGTGTCGTGGAAGAGGCCCCATCATCAGCTCTGCCACACAGGCTGGGGAAGCACATGTGCAAAACTTCTCTGGGTCCTGGTGCCTTTTGGTTTTGACACATGGTCCTAAACCACAAACACACCATAGCTATCAGTGTCCCGGCACCTAGCTCCAGCCACTGGTTGGGGACATGGCTTCAGCAAGTTTTATTACTTCCCCTCAGTGCCCTTAAGTCTCTTTCCTGCCTCAGCTGGCCACACTGGGTGGGTGGAGAGGGGTGGTGTGTGGTGTGTGTGTGTGTGTGCGCGTGTGTGTGTCTGGGGAAGGGATTGACCTGGCAAGTCACAGCACCCCTTTTTACAGACAGAGGCCTACGTGAGGGCTGAACAGCTTCAGAGGCAAGCTGGTACCACACGGTGCACTGCCGAGTTCATCGGCCTCAGAGGGCCAGGGCACACACAGGAGAGCTGTGCCACAGGCTTCCAAAGATGCCAGTCTTTACAGAAACAGACGGCCTCATCTTTCTCCCAGGGAGTGGCTGTGGGGTTCCAACCACAGCCCTTCCAATTAGCAGCCAAGCATGGAACCACGACCGCTCCTCACGGGTACCATACTGACTCAGTCTGTCCAAGGGCACTTAAAGCTCCTGGTCAGAAGTGGCAGGCAGCAGCCCTAGAGAATGCCATCTGTACTCATTGCCCGACAGACACGCTCTTATCCAGAAGCCCGGGAAGGCTTAAACGCCACGCGCCCGTTGCCGCCTCCCCAAGGCCCTTACCTGTCCTGGTTCTTCTCCATCACCCGACTCACGGTGGGGTATTCTGTGATTCGGGCTTGCACCCTCTGCTGGCCTGAAACAAGAGACACTTCATTCTCTGAGTCCTGCCCTGCACCTGTCGGGTCATCCAGTCTCTGAGAGCCTGGCCGCTTCTCTTCTGATCTCTGACCTTCCTCCTGGTCAAGCAAATCGATAAGGCCATTTGTGGCATCGGAATCCACTGTGTCGTCCTCCACAAGGTCCAGAGAGCCCAGCTCGGGGCCCTGGGGTTCCTCCGAGAGCACCCCCTCCAACTTCCACTCGTGGCCGGTGGCGTCAGAGTCCTCGGCCTTGCTGCACTCCAGAGAGGAGTCTTCAGCAGTGACCAGGGAGGGAGTGAGGCCGGCAGACCACACCTGCATGTCAGACATCTCCAGCATGGCGTCATGCTCCGAGGCCGCCAGGGGCATGGCATCTATGACAGCCACTTCGCTCCAGTCTGCACGCAGCGGAGAGGGAAGCAGGTAGTGCAGGGAGGCGGGGGACAGCAGCTCGTCCTGCAGCGAGGAGTAACCTGGATGGGCAGACAGAGGGCAACATGCTCCAGAAGCGATTTTGGTCACACACACTTACGTGCAAGTTCACACACGCGCACACGCAGGCACAGCCGTCGGTCCGCATGCACATTCTGGGGGTGGGAGGGCGGGGGGCTCTCCAAGCTCAGATTCCAACCCTCAGGCCTTGTGGCTGCTGCCTGGGGTGCTGAGGCAAGAGAAACAAGGCTCTGAGTTGGGGTGGGGGATGCAGCCAGCGAGTGGGGGGCGAGGAGGGCTGTTTTGCTGGATGGCAAAGAGAGGAGATTGGATTTCTTCCTGATCCAGTCCAGAGCACTGGAAACAAAGAAGCGTTTCTCCAGAGGACTAGCCCTCCGGTCCGCCTCTCATCAGATGAGAGCTCCACTACCGGATGGCTGTGCAGGGAGAAATGTGGCTTGGGGGTTGTGGGATTTTTTGCTCAGAACCTCACTTCAGCACAGTCCTCGGGGCTCTGTTGGGGAATGTTCCTTAAGGGGAGGAAGTGGCTCAGCCCAAACCAGGGTCAGGAACCAGACTCCCTTGGAGGGGTCTCACAGGGGCGGGGTGGGCGGTGGGGGGGCCACACTGACCATCCACAGACCTCAGGGCGGTAGTCAAATGGGGAACGGGCTTCTGGTTGGGGATGAAGTAACTTTTCCTCAGGCTGCGTATGGGTTCCAGAGCTAAAGTGGTACAGGTGAGGGTTCTACGGGTTCAAAAGAGGGGGCAGGGTCAGAGGGGCTAGGCACATGGGCTGCTTTGATAGGCTGCCCTGACGCACTGGGCTAGTCATCCCAGCTGCAGGTCACCTGGAGGGACTGGAGCCAGCCAACTCAGGCCCCAGGTGTGTGGACCTGTTAGTCACCGTTAGTCACCACAGCTGGTTAGTACTCCCTGCTGACCAGCTCATTAGGAGAGGCTTTGGTTTGGCCTGGTTACTGGCTCTGTGGTGCTCTGAAGCAGGTCGGTGGGGGTGGGGAGGTGGGGGTGGGTAACCTCATGTAAATGGGGGAAATGTCCGGGGGGCTCCCCAGCTCTTCTCCAGCCAGGATTGGGGTGGTCCCCGCTACAGAGTAAGAGAGTCTCCGGCTTCTCTTCAGAGTGATTGTCCACACATGTGAGTGGGAGAAGGGACTAGATTTCCCATGCGCTGGAGCTCCTTGGGGGAACCAGGAAGCGGCTGGGCGTCCACAGCTGCTGGTGGTTCGGCAAGGCCAAGGGAGGTTGCTGAGCGTGAGGAAGGCTTGCCCGGGGTTGAGCCTGTCAGGCCTTCCTGCCCTCCAGAGAGGCATTCTGTCCAACTCTTCATTCTGCCCTTCAAACCCTCCCAGCCCACATCCAATGATACTCCCAACGGTTCCAGAGCCAGGCAGTCTCTTTCTTACTGCCAAAGCAGTCTTCCTTCATGCACGCCTTTCTTCTGGGGCCAATCCTACCACCTTCTGTCTGTGCTCGCCCGTTTGTGCGATCAAAATCACCACCGGAGGTCTGACGATCACATGCCAGCCACGGTGCTAAAGAGAACACACACACACACACACACACACACACACACACACACACACACACACACTCAGCATAACCAGCTCTTGATCCATGTTCAAGTTCTTCA